AATGCAACTGGGAGAGTTGTATGCTGCAGGCCAGTGATTACGGTAAGTATGGCTTGAGAAATAGCCAAAATCCTACAAGAGTATGTTATTTTGTCTTTTGCAATTTGAAAGCAAGTCAACACTCGTCGTAACCAACGCGATTGTTATTGTTGAAAGAATGCACTTTTTTCATACATTTTTTGGGAAGCCTATACTTCCACGTGAATGGGTCGTGGCCGAGAGGGCATTCTTCCTCGGAAAGAACAATCAGTGCCGAGCTTCTTAGTCGTAGTGATCATTAAGAAAAAAACATTTCTAGCCCTTAGCCACGAGGCCGTCGTTCAGGACTGCACTCCTCAGGAACTGAGCAACTATAAGACGGTCAACTGTGAAGACGTCATGCAGAAATGGATATGCCTCTTTACTGCGGCACTAAACAGTCCGTTTGTTGAAGCGGAGCTACACTTCAGAGCTTTACGCCTAATCCGATTATGACGAATTAGGAGGCAGGATTTGCTCCTTCCCGACGGGATGTCCGTGAAGAAGATACATAGTGACGAATAATGGTAGATATAAAGACCAAGCTGGTGTGTGGTAGAGCTTGTGAAGATCGTATCCCCTACTGCGTCCTCAGCCAGCGTTGTTGTGCTGGCGAAATTCGGTACCAAGGTTGCCGACAAGAATTTCAATAATGAGAAGATGGAAAAACCCATGACGACAATGACAAAGAACACAGTGCAGAGTATCTTTTCAGAAGTCGACCGTGCAAACACGAGGTCAACCCAGTGCAGAACAATGTTCACCATCGGTGAGCTTCATCGAAGTAGACTCCCGCGGGGTCGATAGGAGGTTGGAAAGATGCGTAGTCTCCAGATGGAGGCAAGCCGACATCCTCGAGTCATTTTGGGTTGCTCATTTGGACAAACTTCGATAAACCCTCACAAACACTGACTGGCAAAGATCGCTGATGTGGATATACTTTGAAATAATTAACCTTTAAGTCACTTTATATGACTCGAAATGTATTGATATCTTCGAAGAACATTCACATTGAAGGTGGGTGAAAAAAAATATAATTTTCAAAAAGAAAGTTGTTTGCAAGTCAGGAGCATTGATGTTGGAGCATCTTTCATTTCATTTGAAGATATTCAAATGGAAAGGACTCGTAAGTTGGCTTCACCGAAGGCTGTAGGTCCTCGGAGCACCGCTCTGCGACCCTGATGAATCCTTGCTGAGCTTTTGTCCTTCACGTGACGGACATCGTCAGAGCATGACGCCATGTCACTTCCACTCTCCTCTCAAAAGGAAATGAAAGATACTCCAACATCAATCTGCTAAGGGATTATTTGAAACCCAGTTTTTCTACGCGCCTACGATGGAGATTCGTTTGCGGTGTAGTCAAGTGAAGAGTGTAGGATTGTGCTCGCAATAGGCTTTCGTATGGCATACAACAGACATCTTCATGGCCATTAGCGATACTATACACACATCACATGTCCACACACTGTTGAGAGATAGCTTACCTGCCTGCCCGTAAGAAGTATGGGCGATGTCCAAAAGATTCACACCACTTCAGTGGCAAATCTACAAAAAGTCAAGAGGCCTACTTGCATTATGATGGGGAAAATTCACTATCAGCCATC